CATCCTGAAGCAAAGTTCTTAACCTGAAGCACTATTTCTGGGTTAGCCAAGTCTGTAACCTGAAGCATATGTAACCTGAGGTACCACTATACAAGGTGAGACTGTTACAACTTTTTGCAATACTCAGTATTGCCTACCTTCTCATTTGCTCTCATTCCATCAATTATGTCAAAAGGGATACAAAGATATGCTTAATGGGTTGAATCCAGACTTAGTCATGTTTAGAGCAGACCTGTTGAAATCAATGGGAGTTATGTTTGTCTTGACTAACTTCACAAACTTGACTAATTTCAGTAGATCTAGTCTAAATCTGGATTCCACCTACAGGGTCCTGGGGAAATGAAGACCTACTTTATTAGTAGCGTTCAAAAGACACCTTTCTGTATGGCACAGTGCGTGACAATAAAGGCATAAAGAAAATCCAATGCATTCTTAGTGCATTATTACATATTATTTCTTGGATAAAAGGGTTGTGATGGCATTAACACCTTTTCTTCTCCATTAAGAAGCCATAGTCTGAAATCTTCCTACCCTCTTATGAGATGTATTTTATCCTCACCAGCTACCCATAAGACCACTTGTGCTTATGCTGATTTTGTCCCTGTTTAACTTCTCTTAAGTAGCCTGTACGATATTAACTTATTTCATCAGTTCTGATCCCACTATTCACCAGAGTCACAATGCACTACAAAGTTAGGCACATGAATTTTCTATTGTGCATATGAACATGTAACTTTTCCTCCATCAATGACTTCCTATTTTATTAGAAACTGGTGCCAAGGAGTCACTTCATTATGAACCTGTGCAAAGGAGTCAGTAGTTTCTAGAGGCAATGCCATTTTCCTCCTCCCAGCCTCCATCTCTGTGTGTCATTAAAAATGTGACATGGTGTGATATCATTTCAGCTCTTTGCTTCTGGTAGAAAGCACTGCAAAGATTGGTGAGCATTCTTTTTAAAAATATTGTGCTACATTAAACCCTTTGCATCTGTGAACAAGCTGCCATTGCTCTACATAAAGCCCATCTCCTCACTAGATAGTTCTATAGACAAAAGAAGACATCCTCTTATCTTAGCTGGATTTGCTTTGCTACCCACTTTCAGCCCACAATCTTTGCTCATGGAACTATAATAAATCCAGTTCTGTTCCTATTTCTCCCATTTGGCTCATCACCCTTGGCACCCATTGCAGCTGACAGGTTCAAGTCTGGAGATGTGAGTGATTCTTGCTTTGGCAAAGAACCTCTAAGCCACACATCACAGAGGCTGACAGCAGAACTCTGCACTTGGGGCTGATGAATTATATTCAGTTCCACAGGCTCACTTTTAGTTTGAAGCCTGGAAATTCCTGTGTGAGGCTTTCTAACAGGTCCAGGAGTAGGGATTGCGGCCTTCCAGATGTTGTTGAACAGCAACTCCCATCATTGGGGTATCCCTGACTATTGGCCATGTGGATGGGAGTCGAGTCCGGCAATGTCTGTCAGGGCAGAGGTTTCCCAATCCTGGATTAGAGTGTGGTGTCTGATGAAGGTCTCTGTCCGACTCAGCAAAGACCCATGTCCTTTCATCTCAGGTGTGGGGAACCTTTGTCCCTCCAGATGTTGCTCATCTACAACTCCCATCGTCCATAGTCATTGGCCATGCTTGCTGGGAAAGATGTTGAGTTGCAGTTCAGTAACATCTGGAGGGCCAAAGGTTCCCCACACCTGATAGGAAAGGATTGTTTTCAGAATGAGAGCCCTGGTTGGAACTGGAAACTTGGCATATGGACAAAACACTTACTAGTGTATGGTTTCACCTGGCCACCATCATGTATAAACGCCAGTGCAGGACACACTGGTGCCACAGAGCCCTGTGATGCTGCCACTGTACTTGCAGACTCGGGTAGGCTTCCACATGTTGTGGACAACAATTCCCATCATCCCCGGCAATTGACCATGTTGGCTGGGGCTGATGGGAGTTGTAGTCCCGGACATCTGGAGGTCATTTTTTTGGCTACCTCTGTACTTAAATGTGACGCACAGCATTTAAAAAAGGATGTACGACCAAATCTGGACCAGTATGCATATGTAACTGGAACACAAGATTAATGGAGCATCCTTTAATAAGAGATGACCAAATACCCATTTGATTTATATTTGGTATGGCAGTTTCCATGACATAATGATTAGCACACTATTAATTGCTATTAAATTTCTTTTTTCCTTTTTGCATACATTTGACACCAGGGCGTGAAGTGAAAAGTAAGGTTAGCCCCATCAAGGGCCTATTATCAAGCATCATTAGTCTCCATTTAGGGTACTGTTTTTGACACTGCATATATTAATTCTCTGCACTAATTGCATGAATGAGGAAAGCGGTGTTGCTAACTCACACAATTGTTCCCAGAGCACAAACTGAAGCTGATGTGTTTTCCAAGACAGGCATTCATACAGTAATGGGCCAACTTCATAATTGCTAGATTCATTACAGCTTCGTTTCCCTAGTTTGTTAAATTCTCATCCAAATCTTCACTTTCTGTAGAAGCAACCAGCACTAATGCAAGAGGCAGAGGTGTTATGGCGATGTTGCCTAGGTTCAGGAAGCAACACAATGGCAGGAGCAAGCCTGAGGTCCAAAATAGGGGGCAACAATACAGTGGTACCTCAGGTTAAGTACTTAATTCGTTCTGGAGGTCCGTACTTAACCTGAAACTGTTCTTAACCTGAAGCACCACTTTAGCTAATGGGGCCTCCTGCTGCTGCCACGCCGCCGGAGCACAATTTCTGTTCTCATCCTGAAGCACTATTTCTGGGTTAGCGGAGTCTGTAACCTGAAGCATATGTAACCTGAAGCGTATGTAACCCGAGGTACCACTGTACAGGAAACACCAGAGCTTAGTCAGACCTGCTTGCTTGTGCAAAGCTAAACAGAACAGGAAGTCATCTTTTGCTCCTTCCTTTCCAGGGCAGGTCCAATAGCCAGTCTGCGTGGGCAAGAGTTAGTCCAGAGACTGGAAGTATTTCACTGAGAAGCTGCTACCTGCAGTCCAAAGGTTTATTTATTGCTTCCTATAAAACATCCCAAAGCTCTGTGTGGGAATCACAAACATATATAGAAAACCATATCAAGTCCAGTCAGTACAGACACAAACTGGGATGAAAATTTTCAACTTGAAAGGCTTGTTAGAAAAAGGAAGGTCTTCAATAGGTGATGAGAGGATAATAGAGACTGTATCTGTGCAATGTCACCATATTAAAGGCCCAATTCCTGCACCATATCATACCATCCAACAACCCTCTGAAGAAAATAGGAACATTTCTCACTCCCTTACCAACTGACTCTCCTTGACCCCCCCTTTTTTAGCCCCTGTCCCCACAGAACATTTACTATTGGAAGAAGGGCAAGTGCCTATACCACTTCATGAATAGGGCACAGGACACACGTCCTCCACCATCCTGAGAAAACTCCTTAATCCTAACAGAGGAGGATGGAAAGGAATTGCTGAAATAATTAATAGAAGTGGAATACAAAAAGGGAGATGTGAGGAGGTCATGGAAATAAGTGAATGAAAGAAGGGATAATGAAATTGGATGATTTATCTTATTGTCTTAGTCTTGTTTTGTTAATTTGATGTGTTGTGTTGTATTGTATTGTTTTTCTTTTTCTTTTTTTCTTTTTTCTTTTAGTGTTTTTGGAAAAATAAAAAATATATATTTTTTTTAAAAAAAAAGAGAAAACTCCTTAATCCTGATTTGATTTTATTCTTTGGTAGATTTAGAGAAAGAAAAGTACACAACTTTTAGAGACGGCCTAGCTTGGATGAAGATGCACAAAGATTCTTTTCTCTTTTTTAAAATCAAGACTCCTTGCGTTCTGTTACACTTCGACTTCCTTCCTGCCCAGCCAGTGCATCACATGGAGCTAGGCCTCAGTGGCCACAGCCTCTCCTCCTCCTCCTCCTCACCCACTCTCCAGCAGCCACTACAAGTTGCCCAAGGGACGGTGGAGAGGCAACAGGATGCTCCTTCTCAGCCGCCGCCGCTGCAGCTGCTGTTGCTGGGGACAAGCTCATCCTCCTCCTCAAGCTCAGACATGGTGGCACTGGTGGGGGAAATAGGTGCATTCCAACTTCAAATCAGAAACCAGGGTGGCTTTTGTAATTCCAGGACTGTCCCTGGAAAATCAGGACACCTAGAAGGTATGCCATATGGACCAGGAACCCTGTTGAGATGGTTTCTGCAGAAGGTCCTCTTCTGCAGAGTGCAGTGGTTGGTGTGGTATATAAAGAGTGAGGCCATCTTTTAGGTTCACCGCATTAGGGAGCTACCTGCACACAGAGCTGGCAGCTCCTGACAAATGAACCTCAGGTTGGTGACTGCCTGTTTATTTCCTATGTAGCAGCCTCTTTAATGGGTTTATTCCCTCAGCAAAAAAAAAAAGGCAGGTGCTACTCTCCTTTGGTGAATCAGACCATCCATGTAGTACTCAAAGTATGAAGTAGTACCAACCTGTACCTTCACATTTTAATAAGGTTAAAAACTATCTTGAGTGATTACTACAAAGTTACTCAGCCTTTTTATTTATGGAGCTGGGCTTGCAAACTATAAAAAGTCCTTGTAACATATTTTCATTTGATTAGAAGTAAACTCTATTCTAAAAATAGCAGCAGAAAATGTGATAGAGTCGCTCTTATTGATGGCTGACATGCCAGCTTTTAAAATGCTGTTGGCAAACCAATTTGACTTTTATGATAATTCATGATAATATCCCATCAACATCAAAAAAATAAGAGTATGTTGTGTATTATGCAGAGCGAGCAACTAAGCAATCAAGTTTTTTTGACAGTGGCTTGCCAATTTTTTGTCCCCAGCACGTTAACAGAATTATTCAAAGTGCTCACAATCCAGTAGCAGCCTCATTAGCATTTGCATTCCTCCAAAATTTATGACCTTATTTTCAATAAAAAGCCATTTTTTAAATTAAAAAAACATTCCTGCCTATTGTCTTTTATTTTTTGTTTGCTGTGTGGGAGCTCATTATCCTTTGGCGATTTTACCCTTGGGAGAAGTTCAAGGGCCGTATTCACAATGGTCTGTGATGTTAGAGAATACAGAATTAATCACATCACACGGATACATTTTACTGCAAGTGACTGTCTGGGTGGGGCAGAGCTGCTATCCTAGCTTCCCGGCAGTTGAGTCACTGTTGCTTATCAAGAGGTGGAGGGCAGAGGTGGTGGAGAGGTCCATATGGTATATGCAAACATACCAGCAGGAGCATCAGATTGGCTCCACTGGTGCATTTGTACCCAGGGACCCACTTGCCAACAAGGTAGCGAAATGGCTCTGCCCCACCCAGTGCAATGCTTCTGCCTTTTATCCCACATGTTGGACGAACTAGTTATAGCATACCCGTCAACTGTCCCGGAGAAAAACAGGATATCCAATTTTTTTCTCATGGAAGGACAGCAGCCCAAATGGCTGCTGCAATCTCACATAATTTCAGGCCGCACTCGTGCTCATTTTGGGGCACTGTCCCTGGAAGAAGCACTTTTTGGGGAGGGGCCACACATTCTAACATGAGTCACGTGACTGCTTCATATTGGAGGGTATGTTATAGAATATAATGGAATTAGCCTGGCATACTTACTGAGTCCTTGACTGACTGACTGACTGACTGACTGACTGACTGACTGAATTTATTACCAGTCCTTCACCCAACAGCCCAAGTATGGGTGATGTCAGAAGATGAAACCAGAAAAACGTAATATCTAAAATTACAGTAAAAATTATCGCAGCGGCATTATACAGTAGAGAAGGTAGCAATACAGAAAAGGATGTAAAATGTCACCTCACCTCTCTTAAAGCCTAGACAAAGAAGTGCGACTTGACCTGCCAATGAAAACCATACAATGTTGGAGCAAAGCGTTGGGCATTCCACAACCTGGGAGCTATCACTGAAAAGCTCCTTCCATGCACCATTGTCCCTCTTTTCACAGTGGCACCAGGAGCAAGGCTTCCTCAACACTCAGGCAGGCCTGTCAGTAGAGTTCATGAGTGGCTGCATGGTATTCCTCTCTCTCATTTGTTATAGTGATAAACCTTCACTTGGATCCATTTCCAATTGACATAACATCCATTTGACACAGTCTGCGGAGTCTACAGCATTGTGTGCGCACTGGGAACTGGAAAGCCAAGCATCAGTGGATGCCGTTGGAAAACTTTATTGAACAAGAGTCAAAACTTGTTTGAGATTAGTAAAAGAAACCTAGATATATGGAGAGAGCAAACTTCTTATTGCAGAAAGTGGAAAGGTACTTACAGAAGGGCAGGTACTAAAGTTCACATTTGCATTTGATTGTGAAAATCTGCCTGTGGGGTAATAGCTGTCTTTTAAAAATTCTTGTCTGACTTTATCTTGCTCTCTGTAATAAGCTGCCCAAATCCATGCGCTGTCTTCAGCTTTTCACTTGTATTAAATTTCCACTACCTAAAAGGATACCAATTTAACTATATTTTTGGAACTACTCCTTAGGTAAAGGAGAAGTAGGAGGTAGGGACATTGGAAATTCAAGCCTAAGTGGGTCTGAAAGCCTTCACTTCCTTGAGCCGATGAACTCATTGACCACACTGCAAGTTGCTACAGAAAGCATAATAGAAGATGCTTGCAACAGAAATTGTTGGAGAGTGCTTTGCAATCTCTGATGAAAGCTACAATACTCCCAAATGGCACCAATAATTTGGCTTAGCAGAGAAGCTTTACACAGAATTAAGGACTAGAAGGCTTATATCCTGCCAGATGTCAGACACTCATTTAATTAACAATATGCTAATTTAAACACCCAGAAAACAAATTACCAACAACTTTAAATACCTGTCCCTCAGTTCCATGCACACAAACACACAACACTCGCCATCAAATCCCCATGAAAATATAAAATAATTAAGCTTCTTCTAACTATATCTAGTCAGAAGCTCCAAGATTTCCAGCAGAAAAAAATCAGCATAGAAGAGCAGAGAGGAATACCTAGTTTCTCAAATGAAATGAAATAAAATAATGCGTTTTTTTCATTTGTGAACTTTAGGCAACTGAAACAGACTGAGGATCACCAGCTAACATAGGCAGCCTCAAAAATTTGCACAGTCCTAGGTATTTAGGACTGTATTGCAGGGAAGTGTGGCACCTATAGGCTGAATTGCAGCCACCTAGGGAAATAATACGGCAAGACACAAAGGTTAGGTGAACTGGGCCTGACTTATTCAATGCAACAGATCTGCAGTGCAGAACCAAGGTGCACAAAGCAGACTGGGTAAAACCAAGGATAAGAGGCAATATTTCATCTACCCCTTCCCTTAAGTCCCACCCTTTCCGGTGAGTAGAGAGACCTTCCAGGGCACCACAACTCCAAGCAGGTGTTACAATGCTGCTCCTTACCCTCCCAGCAAGTCCACTGAAGACAAGTCTCGGGATTACTACCCTTCACGCTAAGGGTGCTCACCAAACTTTAACTACCTGATAACTTGACATGAGCCAACAGTGTGACAGAAAGCTCAGTATTGGTAAAAGGTGTAGTGCTCAAAGGAAGCCCATGATGTTAAAGAGAGAGTCCTATTGTTGTTGTTGTTTTTCCTTTGCAGGCAACAGTATAGTCGACACTTTCCCCCAGCAGGTATTGAAGTAATTTTCAATTCTATTGTGGGCAAATGGCATTTGAATAACCATTTGCAAAGAACGGTTATACATTACCATTCGTCTGCTCGTGCCACCACTGCTTCCCCGCACCCCACAAATTAAATCTGCACCAAGTTAGAGGACAGTATGCATGTATCATCGAAACTAGACTGTGTCCTCTATAATAAGCTGTTGTTAATGATCTCTGCACTGCAAAGTTCTCATCAATTCTACTTAGGCTCCCATCTTCCAATATGCATACGGTATTAATCACTCGCATTGCCCTGAGTTCTCATTCTAAATATTGTTGCACGATACTCTCACCCTTTGGAATGAGGCACAGCAGAGACTGTGGTGTCTTTAGGATACATGGTTTATCTATACATATATATACACAACCTGAGCCCACGGTGGAGGGGTTCACAGCATTAACACCCCAAGAGTGCTTTGCTTCTCCATAGCCGCAGCCTTGGATTTCAACAGAAATCAGGCATAGCTCTGTCTCTCAGCTGCCCAGCCTTCAGCCTTGCCAGCTTGCAGCTCACATAACTCAACCCTCTGCCTTGGCCTTTGTCTTTCTAAGTACCAGCAAGGTGAGGGAGGGAACCCAACCTATTTGTCCCCTGGCACAGAGCTACACACAGAGAGGCAATGTGGTGCAGTGGTTAAGAGCGATAGACTCGTAATCTGGTGAACCGGGTTCGCGTCTCCGCTCTTCCACATGCAGCTGCTGGGTGACCTTGGGCTAGTCACACTTCTCTGAAGTCTCTCAGCCCCACTCACCTCAGAGAGTGTTTGTTGTGGGGAGGAAGGGAAAGGAGAATGTTAGCCGCTTTGAGACTCCTTCAGGTAGTGATAAAGCGGGATATCAAATCCAAAACTCTTCTTCTCTTTTACTTCCTTTGTTACCTTAATGGCCCATACTTAAGAGTGCCATTACCTCACCAGGAAGCTAGCCTGACTCTTCCAGGAATTGAATTCATGCTGGATACAGGAATGAGAAGAGCACCCAAGCATAAAGCTGGTCCTCCCCACCCAAACTCATAACAACACGTCTCTGCCTGAAAGAAACGAGTAGTTCCAGCTACAGATGGAGTTTCAGCGAGCCTTTAATGCAAGGTGGGAATGACAGGTTTCCAGGAGGCACTTCAGAAAATGGGGGGGGGGAGGGTAAATCAACAATTTCACAAAAGGTGCAGTCATCCCTTTCCACTCCTCCTGAAACATTCCTGGACAGAACAGGGAGGAGAGGTGGTGGTGAGGGTGAAGCTCACAACACGTGCCCACACCCCTCCCCTCCCCTCCCCTCCCATAGCAAGTCAGAATAGGGGAGAAATTTGGTCCAGGTCACATTTAAAGACAAACCTACCTAAGACTATATTCAAACATGAGGTTTATTGCATTAGCTTTCCTGGTTGTAATACTAGCGCTTCTGTGCCGGTTTCTAACATGATCTTGAGGGTGTATTCAAATGTGCGGAACTAGTTAGTGTACCTTATTATAACGCTAAGGCTTCTGTCCCATTTTTCAACTGCAGTAACTGTTGTGTTATGGACTATGTTGTGAAAATTCTCATTCACACCAGTGGGTGTGGTGTGACACAACAACGGATGACCTTGCACAACGTTGCTACTCTCCCACCCTTTCTGCATGTGTTTGCTTCTGTTCCAACATGAAAACAGCAGGAGAGAACTGTATGCTGCTATACCACCCCAAATTTTGTCACATTACTCCCACAATTTTTCAAATTAAGGGGGCTGGAAATCGTTGGGTTTTTTCCTGCAATCAAATAACATGGATATGAGCACTGAACTTGTGCTATATTCCATTAATTTTCCAGAAGTGGCTTGTACATTTGAAAGCTCAAATATAATGTGGAGATTAACAAGGAAACATAAGGGAAATAGAATAAACTGTCAAGGGAAGACAGTCTAACCCTGTTGCATTTTGGAACTGTGGCTTTTTGACCACTGAACCAGTTCCTAGACTGTCGCCTATCAATGCAACTTTCAGAAACATTATTGTTTAGCTTCGGCAGCACAAGAGCTTCACATGTCTCCAAAAATCAAATTTGTCCCATTTGATTTTGCTCAGTATGTCTAACTAGCTATTGAGTTGTAATCTTGCCATTAAATCTGCATTGGTTATGGGACAATGAAGCACAAAAAGAAAAAGGGAGTGCCAATGGAAAGCCAAATCATCATCATCATCAACAACAACAACAACAACAACTGAAGAGCTGCGAAAGAACATTCAGACTGCTTCTGGAATCTGAACAAAACACAGCAAGGAAAGACAAATGGACTTTATACAGTGTTCTTTTGCTAGATTAATCACTGTGAAGTACTACGGCAAAGGACAGGGATTGGCTTGGTTCTCACAACAAAGACAATTCATTTGGAGACAATCAATAATGTACTGTACCCACATCCATAAGTTACAGCTTCATTCACTGGAAAGAGACAGTTGTTTTTCATTCTTCGAAATGCTTCACCAAGCTGATGTCAATGCAAGGGCCTCCAGAGTTTGCTATTAAACTGACATTTGCAAATGTCAAAGCATTTGTTTCACATATGGGCAACCAAATGCAGAGCTTATCCATTCAGAGAGAGAGAGAGAGAACAAAATGAAGAATGGAAAGGAAGATATTTACAGACAGTGGCTCATGAAATCCACTGCCCAGCTTCCATCACTGGGTGTCTGCTCTGCTGGTCTTTGCAACGTTTCAAAGTAGAAATGTGTGCTTGGAACACCCCTACGCCTACAGATGGGATCCCTGCCCTCCCCGTCAATTAGCTACAGCTGAATATTCTTTTCCACATGCTATATTTGGTACCTGTCATGCACTAATTTAAAAGCTGTGTGTCTGTGTGTGTGTGCGCGCGTGCTTCTATGGGGGCGGGGGAGCCATAATCATCATGTTATTAGCATTTTACCGTATTCGCTCTATTAGACGCACCTGACGATTGGACGCACCTAGTTTCTAGGGGAGGAAAACAAGAAATAAGAAAGGAATGCAAAGCATCCTGAGCTAAGAGGGAGCGCTCCTCTATCTTCACTCAGGAGGCTTTGCGGGCTACCCTGAAGCCAGGAGAGCTAGTGGGATCGGTGTGCACTGATCCCTCTTGCCCTCCTGGCTTCAGCAAAAGCAAGCCTACTGGCTTTCCTCCCGCAAGAGCCGTGCGCTCTTTAAAGGGAGCGCGGCTCTTGGGGGCTTTTCTGGGAGGTGGGGGAAGGGACAGAGCGCACACTCTGCCCCTTCCCCCACCTCCCACAGAAGCCAGGGATAACCACAGGAAGCCTTCGCAGGGCAGCGGGATGAAGGCTCCCCGCTCCCCTGCGGAGATTTCATCCCTTGGTTAAGCCAGAAGCTAGAACAGCCAGAAGGATCCTGCTCGCTGTCCTGGCTTCTTCTTTAGCCGCGGGCAGCCTCTCTGGCCGGGAGAGGCTGCGCCAGCTATGGCAGAAGCCAAGACAGCCAGCGGGATCCATCCCGCTCACTGTCCTGGCTGCGCGCGGCTAAGGCTCCCCCAAGAGCCGCGCTCCCTTTAAAGAGCCGCGTGAAGCGTGTGTGCGACTCTTGGGGGAGTAACAGTTGGAGTAACAGTTGGTAATGAAAACAGAATAAACCGCCATGGAAATACAGCCCAGGTGACCTTTGGCTGCCATTTTCTTTCTCTCAGTCTCTCTCAGCCTATTTTACCATAGAAGGCTGTGGGAAGAAAGAGGAGATGAAGGAGATGAATCCCATTTGTGCAACCATGGGCTGATTTGAGTGGATTTTGGGGGTAGGGTGGGGGGACACATAATAAAACATTAGGAATGGGACACAGGAGGCTGCCTTATACTTGGACAGACCAATGACCCATCTGGCTCAGTACTGTTGACTAGCAGTATCAGGCCGGGTACCCACTCAATCCTACCTAACGACACCAAAGTTTGAACTTCCTACCTTCTGCATGAAAAGAAGATTCTCTACCACCAAACTACAGCCTTCAGCTATGGAACCATTGGAGGTTATTATATCCGCAACTGACTCAGGGCCTGGCGATAGCGATTCAGCAAATACTCTTGATGACTGGCTCAGCACCACATCCTCTGTGTGACGCTTGTTCCTTCCGTTGTCGATGTGTTGTATTCCTTAGGGCCTACTTTATGTTCACATTATGGCTGTGAGGTTGCGTTGCTTAGCAACGCTACAGTTATGAGCTCTTGGAGCACGCCTCTTCAGAGAGGCTTGTATACAAATATCTATTTATTACTAAGTAGAGCTATCAGATTTTCTCCCAAGCCATTTAACAATGTGAACATGCCTTTTCTTTTTCCCAGGACTAATTGAGCAAGCTTTGATCCCTCGTTCTGATGTTAGCTTCTGGAACATTTGTTCTAGAACATACTAAAGGAAACAAAATTTAGAAAACCACACCTCCTTGTAGGCCCCCGAAGCTTGGCTATTAACAGAAAGAGCACAACCCTTGAGACAGCTTCAATTAAGAACATGTGCTTGCTTTCCTGTGATTAGCACTCTGTTTTAGTACTCCAACACTATCCAGCACTTCAGTAATTTTCCTAAAGAAGAGAGAATTATTTAAATCTTCTGCTCCTAGCCATGGTAAGTCAGTTTTCTGACTGCTTGGCGAGACGTTTTCTGGAATTCATGAGGTACTTGAAACACAACATCTTCTTTAACGTAAATGTAATTACAATAAATTATGTAGATTATTAGAAAGCAATGGGATGTGACTTCTCAGATCTTCAACTGACAATTCTTTGGAGGCTGAGGCCAGCAAAGCCAGCAATGTGAAGATATTCTGCAGAATAGGTATGAATCCCACACAGGGTATTGTGGTTAGCCTTGTAATCCTGAAGCAAAACTCCTGCGCTGTAGGTTAATATTCCCCATGCTGCAGAAGAGCTGAGAGAAAGAAAGAGTGCCTTATTTTTAATTACTTTTCAAGTTTATGCCAAAAGCTTTAGGTTACTGAATGATTCTCTCTCAACCCTCCTTATAACTATATGCATACTTAACTCAAAGGTAAAGGTAAAGGAAAAGGACCCCTGGACGGTTAAGTCCAGTCAAAGGTGACTATGGGGTTGCGGCGCTCATCTCACTTTCAGGCTGAGGGGTTTGTCCACAAGCAGCTTTCTGGGTCATGTGGCCAGCATGACTAAACCGCTTCTGGCACAATGGAACACTGTGATGGAAACCAGAGTGCATGGAAACACAGTTTACCTTCCCACCACAGCAGTATCTATTTACCTAGCAGTTCGAAAGCACCCTTAAGTGCAAGTAGATAAATAGGTACCGCTTTACAGCGGGAAGATAAACGGCGTTTCCGTGTGCTGCTCTGGTAACGGTTCACCGGAGCAGCTTCATCACGCTGGCCACGTGACCCGGAAGTGTCTGCGGACAGTGCTGGCTCCCGGCCTCTTAAGTGAGATGAGTGCACAACCCTAGAGTCGGACACGACTAGCCCGTACGGGCAGGGGTACCTTTACTGGTATGCTTTCAATCTGCTAGGCTGGCAGGAGCTGGGACAGAGCAACAGGAGCTCACCCCGAACTGCTGACCTTCTGATCGGCAAGCCCAAGAGGCTCAGTAGTTTAAACCACAGCACCACCTGTGTCCTCAAACGTTACTCAAATGTAAGCCGTATGTGAGCACTGGGGTTAGGAAAGAGTAGCTCTCCATAATATTGCAGTGGTAGTTCCTGCCATTGGCATGTCAGTTGAAAGTCTTGCTTTAAGGTAATGTATATAAGGGACTCTGAACAACTGCATGAATCTTATACAAGGATTTCTCTTCCTAAATTCACACAGTGCTTATCTCCATCCTAATATCAGCCAAAATGGGGAAGAAAAAGAAGGAAGGGGGGGATACTAGGAATGAAACAGCAACACACCAGAATTATTTTTCTATTCTTAAATGGTATATCTGCTCTTAAAATAATAAAGACAATTTTAGGGGTAAGAACCTTGTTGATCTGATAACCTATCTGATCTGATAACCTACTCCATAGAGTATCCTGGTGACTCATTTGGAAAGAAACTCCACTCTGCACATGTTCAGACAGCTGAAAGATCCTTTCTGCATGCCATAAACAGACATTCCTGTTAAGAGTTGTTCAGTGGAATCCTGATCTGGACCTTGTGTAGAAACAAATTATCTCCACCGCAACAAAAATGTGCTTCCAAGCTTTATGGCAGAATGTGCATCAAAGCCTTCAGACAACTTAAATACAATAAGTCATGTTACAGAACGACAAAGTAGCACATTGCACACAAGCAATGAGGTCCAGTCTTTTATGCAGTTCAGAGGGAGATCCTAAGCTTGCACATCATTGAAAAATTGCTGCTGCTGCTTCTACTAGCCACCTCCAACAAGCAAAGGCTCCTCAAGTTTCAGCTTCCTGCTGTGAAAGCTCTGCAAGTTCATGTTTCTAGAGATGAACTTTAATGACAGCCAGTTTAGAAGTCGATCCAAAGTGAATAGAGATTCTGCTTACAATGCAATCCCAACTTTGCAACTTTCCTTGCACATAAATTCCAGTAAGGTGACCACTGGTTCAACCATCAGTTTCCCCCCTTTATGCTAGTTTCCTTTTGGTGGTGGTGAGAGGAATTATAATGGTATGTGTGTGGTCATTTTTCACCTAGGGACATGGGCGCAGCCAAGGGGAAGAAGGGAGGCAGTTGCCTCCTCCTTAATCAGTAACAATCAATACAGATCTGAGGTTCTGCCCCCCAAAAAACCAAAAATCCTGGCTATGTCCATGCCTGGGGAGGAGGGCATTTGAAAAACAATTGCAAAGCTGTTCTAGATATCCGAAACAGTGCCACTGATGATGTCATGGGAATTATCTAATGAGCACCTTGCCCAGACAGCTTTTTGCCTGTTAAATCTGAGCCACGCTGGAAAACTGCATACATGCATAGCTGCAGAAATCTACTCTGATGAGTGCCTTTACTGCTACACCTTTCTTTAAGACTGGGATGAAAGACCGCAATGCAATTTCCTTCCAAATTATTTAATGGGGCATCTACTCAAACATGGTTCATTAATGTCTAGTGCTCATCTCTAAAGGCATTAGAAAAATCCAGGTGCATTGAAGACCATTTCTTTCTCATCTATTTCTCACAGCAGAAATGTGTCAAGATGATGTATTACAGTTCCAAAAAAATGGCATGAGACAAATAGATCTATCAATCCCATAATTCCCCTTTTATCCCCCCTTGTCATCTTCAAAAGTGACCGAGTATCAAGTCAAAATCAGCCTGCAGTACGGTTAAAGAATGGCTTTGGCCCAATGTATTTTCTAGGTTCCCTTGGGAGGTCACAAAGATGAAAGGAAGTTGTCTTCCCTAAACACTAGCTTTTGAGGGTTTAGTCAGGTATAAAACCTATAAGTACTATAGGCCGATATTTCAGTGCCTTGTACTTGAATACAGTGCTATATACTTGCAGTGAAAATTGTTTAGTTTTGAATCACTCCTCAGTTCTGTACAGGTCTCAGCTTACATGAGTTTCAAGGCTGGAGAAAATCCATCATTAGTTTTAACAAGGATTATTCTTTTGCACCCTATACCACAGAACAGAAACTAGGATGCCCTCAAATCTGCAGCCAGTCCTGGTGCATGACTGAGGATTTTTGTTTTGTTTTACAGTTTTCTCTACCTGCTGGCAGGGAAACCATCAGATTTCCCCATAGGCAGAACCAGGCTTTTCTAAGAAGTTAAAAAAACAACCCTTATTTATGAAGCTGAAAACCCCAGAGCAAGCAAAACTAGCTCTATCTTTACCAAAAAGAAGAAAAAGTGTGCATTGGGGTCCGTCCCCCCCGCAGCATATGAATTTAGTTTCCTTTTATCTTTGACACGTACACAAAAAAATCTTTAAACTTATTACAAATGATGCTTTAAACTTTATGACGAGAGCAATCCAAGCAAATTAGGTGCTGCTTTTAAAAATAACCAGGAGCAATGGAACAATCAAAGTCAACTGTCACCAGTTCTTTTCCCGGTCATGATAATATATTACACAACTCATACCTCATTCAGAGGTGCTCAGAAAATCTCAAAGCCAATAGGACTGTAGATTGAACAAGCTGGAACTCACAATAGGCTCTACAGCCAAACCAGTCTATTCCCCTCCCACTCTCAAAAATGATCGGCAAGGAGGCACCACAATTTCTGGAGGGACAGAGATGCAATTTATGATGATGCAATTATGCAGCAAGATTAGCTCCACTGTTATTGCCAGATTGGTCCTTGAAAAAACAACAGGCTTATGGTTTGACAAGAGCTGTGCCAGCAAATAAATGCTTAGGGGGAGGTATCCCAACTGCTGTTATGTCAGCAGCACTGAAGGTAGAAACAACAGTTTGGGGAAAGGATATAAGACTTTTCTGGACAAATTTGTTAAGAAAACCGAAAGCTTCAGAGCTTGTCAGGCAAAAATGGGCATGCTCATCAGCTGTCAAAGCTTTTATGGTGAATGGAAAGTGATCAGCATGAAAACATGCCCATTCACTGATCAGCATTCAACATTTCAAAGGTCTTCACTTTTCCACAAGAAACAATTTAAAACAACTTATCTTTAAAATATATAATAATATGCCTCTCTCTCTCTCTCTCTCTCTCTCTCTCTCTCTCTGTGTGTGTGTGTGTGTGTGTGTGTGTGTTTAAATACTGGATTGCAGGGATTTATGAAGAAAAGTCATGTTGATATTTGGTAGCAAATGATACCTTAAGGTGGTTGCAGTACAGTGCACCACTGTTTAATTTTAGAACGCTGCATGGATGGAATGCATTTTTAATTCCTCCTGTCTTCCCGTGCTCCAGCATGTTTTTACTTCTCTAGCCTTTCAAAGTGAATATGAAAGGCTAATTGAGTTTGACTTAACATTAAAAGTCTCTGGGTGGTTCATCAGCTACAGTCTTTCCTAGACCAGGAGCCCCTAGTCACAGTCACCCATGCTAGTAATCTTCCAGTTAGACTACTATTTAAGGTTAAGGGACCCCTGACCATTAGGTCCAGTCGTGGCCGACTCTGGGGTTGTGGCGCTCATCTCGCTTTATTGGCCGAGGGAGCCGGCGTACAGCTTCCGGGTCATGTGGCCAGCATGACTATGCCGTTTCTGGCGAACCAGAGCAGCACACGGAAACGCCGTTTACCTTCCCGCCGGAGCGGTACCTATTTATCTACTTGCACTTTAACGTGCTTTCGAACTGCTAGGTTGGCAGGAGCAGGGACCGAGCAACGGGAGCTCATCCCGTCGCGGGGATTCGAACCACCAACCTTCTGATTGGCAAGTCCTAGGCTCTGTGGTTTAACCCACAGCGCCACCCGTGTCCCTAGACTATAGCATGCTCTATATGGGGCATGACAACCACAAGCAGGCAGTGCAGACCCTGGGTATTGTGGAACAGCAGCGTGCACTCAGCTTCTTCAAAATCTCAACTATTTCTCATTACAACTTGGGGGCGGGGGCAGAGCAGAAACACTAGGGTTGGTGGGAAAGGAACAAGGGTAATTTTGCTGAGAATTATCCCTGGTTGCTGGCCCATCCAGGCCCAGGATTGGCCTGAGGAGAATATACAGTCCCAAGCACTTATTCAGGTTTCTGCTGCAGAAGTGTTTCTTCCATAATCATTCCTGTTTGTCTCTGAGATCCTCCGTGGGAGGCAGGCCCTTAGCTGGTATTATATATGAATTAAGAAATAATCTCCAAATATGTCCCAGGAAGAGACACTTCTATGTCTCCTGGTGATGGGGGGGGGGGAGAGAGAGAGAGAGAGAGATTAGGCTTTTAGTGTGCTAAAAGGGGTTTAGCTGAGAGATTCCCATTAACAATAGTGGGAGGCACATGGCAGAGTTCTTACTACTTAAATAGAAATAGAATCGGGACACGTTCTCTGCTAGAAAAGTAGTATCTTAGCCCTTCAGGGGCACGAAGACTCAGCAGCAGAAGGTAACCACTGCCTGAAGTACTTGTTTATACATGCAGCTGTGGGAAAGCTCCCTTTTAATGATGAGCGTGTTCTTATTCCACTGCACAGAAATAAACTTTTTCTTCTCTGCCTCTCTACCGACCTGACCTTTGCTATTATGCAGGAATGAGGGAGAAACATGAATTTTCCACCATCTCTCCTCCTACAAATCAATTTTGATTTTAATTAATTTTTATAATGTTTTTATAATGTTGCACTATTTTAGTGTTGTTAGCCGCCCTGAGCCCAGCTTCGGCTGGGGAGGGCGGGATATAAATAAAATTTATTATTATTATTATTATTACAACTGATAGGAGGAGCACTGTGGGAATGTTATCTATGCCTAGATGTGTAATACAGTGGTGTTTATTTATTTAATAAAATTAAGGGTATTGCATCACCAGGCAAGCCATTTTTTTTTATTTTTCTTGTTTGTGGTGCCTCTTCTCTCTCTCTCTCTCTCTCTCTCACACACACACACACACACACACACACACAGTCCTTGAACAGCACTAGCATATGCTCCAACATTTTCTGTCCCAAATCTGGGGCACACTCCTGCCCCCCATCATACTGCCACCACCTCCAACCCTCACCAGCCCAGGCCATCTTGACCTCCTGTCACCCACAAGTGTGCCCAGGCTGCCTTAGCCCGCCACGCCCCAACCCACCCAGGTCAATTCAGCTTGCCATTGCCACCCGGCTCCTTCCCATGCCTGCTGCCCACTACCTTACCTTTACTGGCTCACCACTGCCATGAAGCCAAGGCTACCTTGAGTGGCTGGGGAAACCCAGCCAGATGGGTGGGGTAGAAATAATAAATTATTATTATTTGGCATGTCCCTTTCAGACCACCAGTGCACCTTCCCAGAAGGTGCCTTGGCAATCATCAAAGGGCACACCAGGGCAAAGGTCCTTCGCCCTGGCAGATTCCTGTTAGGTTTCTGTGTGTTGCCACTGTGCAGTGCTCTTGCAGTCACAAGACTATTTTGCATTCCAGAGACACTCCAGACATGAGAATTCCTGTAACGTGTCCAATCCAGGTTTATCAGGACAACAAAGCATGTTTGGCTTTGCTGACTTCTGAAGGTTGTAAGCAAAGCACGAAACACTTGCAATTGAAGCTGCAACATGCTAGAGAATGTGTTCAGAAAGGACTCATAACGGTGTCCTACATGCCAG